CCGTTCCATCCCGCAACGTCAACATTTTGGAGAGACACAAACCCTTGTCTGAGGACGAGCGACGTTGGGGTGAAGCGGAGGCTGCCGGGCTGAAGAGCTTGCATATTAAATACCACTAAATATTCTACAGATTCGATTAAGAAAGCTGTTGAACCACACCCAACGTAAATAAACTCTGCAGGTTGACAGCGATAAATGCTGTATATGAATAACACTGTCGAATCAAAAAGATTCAAAGCAACGTAGATTCAACAGATTCACAGCACCCTTAGCTTCTTGAGACTTCCACCACTAGATTCTGCATGTGCCGTCGTGCTCATCAGCCATGGTCAATCCACTGCTGGATGAAGGACCCTCACCCCCGTCACCCTCCCCAAGCTACCACCATCTCTCACGATCCTGCATCTGCTCCACACACAAACTGATTTCATCGCTCCATCTCCTCGGCGGACGTTCTCTGTCGGACGCGTTGCATTCCTTTGCTGGCGTTCAGCTTTAATTTTTGACCATTGTCCGTCACCCTTGCGAGTGACGTGCCTTACTCGCATCCGCCTACAATGTTTCCCTAAACATGCATCTACCCAAGCTTCCTACACCTCCGATTAGCACGGTTGGCTACGTACGGTGAGCGAAAGAAGTTAAACGCAACATACAAACGTGGACTTTTTGCCCCAAGATGTTTTGTAAATGACCGCGTTTCTGAACCAAGTCACGAGCCGGTAGGAGGCACTGCAAGGACCACAAGCGCACAAAAATAATAATGTTCTTGGTTCTTTCGGTAAAGTCACGTAGAAGGGAAACAATAAAATAATAAAAATATAAAATAATACAATTCTCACGACGTTTCGACTGAAACACAAGCAATCATCGTCGTGAGAATTGTATTGTTTTATATTTTTATTATTTTATTGTTTCCCTTCTACGTGACTTTACCGAAAGAACCAAGAATATGAATCCCTGCAGTCACGAAAGCTTTAAATAAAAAAAATTGTTCGCGAACTCAATCGTGATCCAAACTTGATTTTAAGCTTTCGTGACTGCAGGAATTACTCTTTGGTTCTTTCGGTAAAGTCACGTAGAAAGAAAATAAATTAAATAATAGAGTACGGCGTTTTGATTGCAACACTAGCAACCGTCATCAGCTGGAACTTAATTTGAGAGAGAGGCAAAACACAGACACGGAGACTGTCTGTGTGTCTCCGTGTCTGTGTTTTGGTCTCTCTCTCTCAAATTTAGTTCTACCTGATGACGGTTGCTTGTGTTGCAATCGAAACGTCGTACTCTATTATTATTATTTTTTTATTTCTACAATACTTTACCGAAAGAACCAAAGAGTCAATCGTGATCGGTGACAATTCACCGCATGGTGGATGGGGTGCATCGATGATACGTTCCCACCGGATGCCGAGCCAACAACGCCGATAGCCTGGGCTAGAATCCCGGCCCCCAGCCAAAGATAAAAAGGGACGTTCCCACGTGGCGCCACTCGCAAAGGATAAAATGAAAGCAATTAAATTCAAATGGAGCGATACACACGGATAGGGACAATCGGCGGGCGGCTTTATCGCCTCTCGCGGGGCAGCGCGAGTTTCCTTCCACAGGGGCCGGGCCGATTCCCTTCCCTCGGACCCGGCACGATCAAAGGCTTCAAAACGACCGGCCGCGGGAAACTGACGTTGTGGGCAAACACGAGCCGAGAACCCCGGGAAGACTCGCCCAACCACCCGACCAATCACCCACCCACCCATTCCGCCCAACCGGGGGGAGCGCCTCCACGCATATATAAGTTTACCCAACGTGCTCAACAGCCAAAGCGGCTCGCTGAGCGCAGACGCGCGTGCACGCGCACACGCACGCACGCGCTCCTTAAAATTCTGCCATCGACCACATTCAGTCACTCGCTCATTCATTCATTCTCAGTCTTTCAAATGAATGCCCTCGCATGCAGAATGGTTTCATTAAGCCGCGTGCAACTTACAAGGAAGCCTTGTTTTGTTTTTCGGGGAATACGGATGGATCATTTGGGCCACTGCGTCCACGACAACGGCCCATTCTTGCGAGGGCGCTCTGGGGGGGGGGGGGGGGGGGGATGCCGGGGGGGGGGCGGGGGGGGGGGGGGCGGGGGGCTAAATGCTCGAGCGCAGACCCGGGGCCCCCGTTGGCTGAACATCCCTCCGGCGGAGACGGCGGCGCGCTTTGGGAAAACCCCGACTGTTACGCGGCAACAACGTTTCGGGGGCGGTGCGAGCGCGTGACCGGCAAACAGAAAAAAATCGACGGCGAGAAATAGGCGGTGGCAAAAGCCACTCTCTCTCGATATTAATTTCGTACGTCCCCCCCACCTTCTCCTACCCCCCCCCCCCCACCCCCGTGGAAAATGTCGCTCGCAAAAAAAAGCTGCCGACGTTGCGTTGCAGGGCGGCGATGACGGCTGCCGATGCTGCTGACGACGACGATGATGATCCTGGTGAATCTCATTAAACGGACCGAAAGGCAGAAATGCACCATCACCACGATCATCATCTCCCAATCTCACGCCAAACCAAAACTTGCCAGCTGGCGCCGGGAGCTTTGATAGACATAATGACATCCCCCCCCCCCCCCGGCATGAAGGGGAGCTTCAGTAAATGTCAATACTACACTCGGAGGGGTCCCTGCATCGAGATGTTTGGACGTGGGCGGAAAGCAGAAATGTCCGGATGAAACGCACGCGCACGAGCGGACGACAATCCCCGCAATAGACACGGGGTTGCCCCGTAGAGGTCCTGGGTGTCAAAAAATTCGCAATCGCCAACCCTGGGGCCCAAAAGCAACTGGGAGTTGAGGCGCGCGAGCGTCGACGGACGCAGGCGCCGTTCGACGCGCACGCGGCCACGATGCAACACGCACGCGCGGTCGGTCGGTCGGTCGTCCATCGCTGAACGCGGTGGGAGTGGATGCGTTCCAGCCGAGGCGGGGGTTGCGACAACGACGTATGAGCAGACGGTAAGATGGCGGGACGAAGAAGTGAGATGAGGGTTACGCGTGTCATTCCGCAACGTTATACCGCACCCAGAATTCCCACACCGCTCGGCCGCCGCAGCTGAAGAAGGTAGTCCGTCGTCGACCGCCGCTCAGAAGCCGCGTCGTAACGGTGCGTGGGTTCCGCGTCGCAACGGTGCATGCGTTCCGTGTTATAACGGTGCGTCCCACGTTATAACAGAGCGTTCCGTGTTGTAACGGTGCGTCCCACGTTATAACAGAGCGTTCCGTGTTATAACGGTGCGTCCCACGTTATAACAGAGCGTTCCGCACTGTAACGGTGCGTGCTATCCACACTGTAACGGTGCGTGCTATCCGCACTGTAACGGTGCGTGCGTTCCGCGTTGTGCGAAAAGTGTGCCCTAATAGAGGAGCCGCATTATAGTGTGAACACGACGCGTTAAGTGAAGGCTAACTATACACCGACAAGCACGTACACACCGACACACAATGCACAGGGGAACAAAGACAAAGATCATCCGTATAGCCTTCAACAGACTGTTGGGGTGACTTCTATTCACGAGTAGCACCAATGACGGCACACGCACGACGCATGACGGGGTGGGTGGCCAGGACCACGGCCGGCCCGCCTTTGTCTCCCCAGCGCTGACGGTTAACACACCGCACAACTTGCAATACTCATAGAAGGGCTGAGCCGACCTTGGGAAGGCCCAGCAACGGTTTCCGACATTCGCCTCCGTTGTTGGCCGTGGGTGGGAATGGAACTGGGATCGTCGGGTTCGTAGTGAAGCGGACGCACACGCGCACGTGCACGTACTCGCACGCCAACACACACGTGGCAGAACACGCGCACACGCACGGGGGAACAATCATCACACGCTTGCGGTCGTACGCACCAGCGCGCTCGCACGTGCACGCACACGAGCAACACGCACGCACGCACGGGCACCCGCACAACAGTACAGCACAGCACAAGTGGGTTCGTATTACACGTTGAAGGGACACTTTAAAGAAGGGGTGGGCGGGGAGGAGGGGTGGAGGCTTGGGGGGGTGGTGCGCAGGGGTGGCGGGGGAGCGCCGTGGCATTCGGTGCATCTTTGCCGGAGGGGAAGAGGCCGTGCGTGTGTGCGCGTGTGTGTGCGTGTGTGTGCGCGTGTGCGTGTGTGTGTGCGCGTGTGTGTGCGAGTGTGTGCGAGTGTGCGTGTGTGCGTGCATGAGCACAGATATGGGGAGCAGTAGGGCAGTGGTTAATGCGCTGCGCTATGAACCCGGCGACCTGAGTTCGATTCCCACTCACGGCCAACACAAGTGACAATTATCTGAACCGGTACCTGGGCCTCCCCTAAGTCGACTGAGCCTCGAATGTTTACCCGGTGCAATGTGTAAACATGGGACGGGCGTGGTGCTGCCCATCCACCCCCCTTGTGTGCCGTGCTAGCCTTCATAGGCGCTCACTAACAGCACTTGCCCCTGCAGTCTGTCGAGGCTACATGGGGGATCTGTGTATTTGTGTGCTTGCGGCAGGAATTCTGAACCGGACAGGAGGTTAACGCGACTGCTTCGCTCCCTCTCAAACAAAAAATCCGCAAACCCTCCCGGTTTCCCCTGCCACCCCATTTTTTTTTTTTAAAGGAAAAAAAGAGAGCCAATCTTTTCCTCTCCGGGACGAACCGCTCCCTCCCGTCCAACAATGCATCAAGTGAAGAGCGCGCCGTATATCGGCGGCGGCGGGCTGATAGGTTGGGTTGGTTTTTTTGTTTCGTGAAAAGTTTTACTTGAAAAAGAGTTTCGCAGAATGCTCACCCCCCCCCCCCCCCACGCCCGCTCGCCCGCTCGCCCACCTCCGATTCGGCGCCACAGCCTAGGACGATGACGACAACGGCGTGACGCGGGACGGCGACGCGGAGGAGACGCTGCGGAGGTGGTGGTGGTGGCAGCGGAGGCCGGACGGGCCGGGCGGACGGACGCCCGCGGACAAACGCGGCGAGGCGACCGTCGTTGGCGAAAAACAAGGATACAGGGATTGTTGTCGTCGATGTTGGTGCTCTCCAGGATCAGGGGGATGCCTTCCAGATCGCGCACCTGCACGCGCACCACAGAGAGACAAAGGCCACATTGGACATCCGCTGTCCACGTCCCACCCCCGCGACATGCTACCCTCCATGACGAAAGCCGTTGTGTGATAGTAAAAAAAAAACCATAAAAAGAGACACCGGTTTAAACGGAAGGTCATTCGCCGATCGATCGTGTCGAACACCGCCCTGCTGCTCGACTAATTTCCAACGCCCGACGAGCAAGCGGACAAGAGGGCGGTCGCAGCCGCGCCGTTCGCCCGCATCGCTGCCTCCAGGGGCAGGGGAGGGAAGCTTTGACAGCTCGGGTCGAACGTACTCGGCCACCTGAGCCACAGCCAAGCACCCGGGCACCGGGTCGCCATTCCAAGACGCGCTCACCCCGACGGCCGCCCTCGTTATAGACGCGGCAGGCCGGAGGAGAGGGGGGCTCGCTCGCTCGCTCGCTCCCCCGCCGTTCCGCGAATTCGCGGCGAGCGCGCTTCGCCGGTGAAGGCGGCAGGAAAAAAGAAACACGTGGTGAGATGCGAGTGATGATGACCCAGAAAGGAGGGGAGTCGGCGAGAGTTACCACGATGTCATTTACTTATTTACCGCGGGAAACAGTGAGTCCCAAGTCGTCTGTTTTTTTAAAAGGATGATCCTAATCTAATTCAAATTCATAGAATATGCCTTCGCTTGAGGTGCTGGTTAGGACGATTGGACAATATATTTTATGAATTTAATGTCTCAAGAGTGCCAGTCAGGTGGCTGCTATTCATTCGCAAAAAAAATATAACTTATAATCATTTATAGCCCCTTTGTCCATTACACTGTTGGATGAAGGCCTACCCGCGCTGTGCCAGTCATGGCGTGGAAGAGCAATCCAACCCCTGTGTACAGAGGGGCCAGAAACCTACTGACGGGCGCTGTCTCTCCCAGAGCTGCCCTCGCACTGCCCGGAAAAAAAATTGACTGCGCACGCCCGTCAGGAATCGCAGTCTTAACCAATTCTTTTCATTTCACGGCAACCGCTGGCTCAGCAATGCCAGCGGTTTGCTTCCCTCCCCCCTCCGCAGGCTTCGTGAGCGGATTCGCGAGCCCCTTTTTCTCGACAACGCTACCGCGTGAAGGTGCAAACCCGAAATTTAAAAAAGCACAAGAGGCTGTCATCTTGGCTCTGTGTGCGCGTGTCCCCGAGGCTCCCCCACGGCAGCGTGAACCGTGTTAGGCGCCATCCAGCGATGTCGCTACGTGAGGCCGCAGAAAGCCAATGGCTCAGTCGGCTTCACCTGGTAAAATAAAATAAGGTTCTTGTGATTTGTTTACCTTTCCTATACTGTCGTGTTGTTGTACTGTTTGTTGTTGTAACGCTCTGAACCGGTCTGTGAAAAAGAGCTTCATAGCTCATCCTATCCCTTCGGGAGCATAGACAAAAGATTCTGATTGCGATAACGGGAACGATGTTGTGACTCAGTTTGCTGACGGTGAACGCAGGAAGCGCGTGGGCACTGTTGGGCAACTGCACGCAACTGGCCAACGGGCCTCGACATCGACGCAACTGACGATGATAATCGCCCTGCCTTACAAAAGGAGGGGGATGATGAAGCAGAAGAAGATATCACGGACATGAAAGTGAGACTCGTGTTGGACGACCCGAGATGCATGGGTGGGGAGGGGGGGGGCTAGTCAAACACAATTCTAAACATTAATTTCTTTTTAAATGAGACTGAACATACAAAATTTCAGGCCCTCCCTGAAGTATGGCCTTGAACACTCAGTGAACCTTTCTTGGATTCTCGTCAATAAAGTTATGCAAGTTATGTTTGTCTTGGGTTGCACACTCCTTCAATGGATTGGCGAGTGGGTGAGAAGTGCTGCAGCGGTTAGCACGCAGTGCTGAGAACCCAGCGGCCACAGATAATCGTTGGCAAAACGTCACGGAACTTGAATGGTAAATGCTGTGGGTTGACTCTCCAACACACCAGTGTGCTGAGTCAAGAACGAATTGGCATGGTTTGTTTACGTGACAAAACCTTGCAATTGGCTGTGTCGGCTGGTGGCGGGTTTAACGACGAGTTTTTATTTACGCGATCCAACCAAAAAACCGCATATGGATAATATTGGTCGGGAAAGCCTACTACTACGCGTTAAACAGACAGATTCCCGGTCGCAACACCTCCACGGTTGGCTACGTACGGTGCGAAAGAACGTGCATACACACACACACTAAACCCGGTTTTGGGCCTTCCCTTCACCAATCTGCAGTGACCAGCTCGGTGAAGTATGTTGTTGAAACGACCCCATGGCTGAAACGGAATGGGTAGGGCCGTCATCCGACAAGCTAATTCATAGGGGGGGGGCTGCAAAAATAATAAAACAAGGTAATTTTATTCACACGGGAAAAAGCCTCTTTAAAAGAGTCTCGAGAGTTGTTGAGGAGGGTTCCGCGTTAGGTCGTTTAGCCAATTCCAGTAACGGGTGCCTGGGCCTCCGAAAGGAAAACCCAGGCACAGCATCAGAGGACGATAACTCTCAACGCTCCACACTGCTGTGCTGCCATCTCCTGGCCACCTCGCAGCCTTAAAGAAACCTACTGCAGCATGCAAAGCCGGGCGGTGTCCCGGCACGCACTGCGGTATCGCCGGAACCCCGAGCGATTGATGGCGTGGAGGATTCTTCATCCAGCAGCGGATGGACAATGGCAGATTGCGGTGACCCCGTCATCGCAGCGGTTTTCAACTCGTGGGGCGAGCAGCCAACGCCCCCCCCCCCCCCCCACCACCCGAGACCCCCTGGAGCAGGGGGAAGAGGTTCAGGGGATCGGAGGCTGCAGCAGGGATATCGGTGCCAATCGGAGGAGCGACACAGCGGTGGCGTTCGTTGAAGATGCCCCGACGTCGTCTGCAGGCATGGTTTTGCCGGCGCCGGGGGCAAACAAACGGACGCGGGTCGGTAACAGGCGACAAACATCGTTCCGGAACAACCATGCGCGGCTAACTCGCGCGATCGCTCCCCATGGGGAGCGGCGAACATTGGGACAATCCGCCACTTCACACCCTGCGCCGTGATTCAGGAGGACCGAACGGGACCGTCGGAGGTGTGGAAGCCGTCATTCGTGATCAGAAGGCAGTCCAATTGGCCGATTGAGGCTGCTGCTGCTGATACATCAAATATACGATGTTATTTGTTTGAATATACAGTGAAGGAAAAAAGTATATGATCCCCTGCTGATTTTGTACGTTTGCCCACTGACAAAGAAATGATCAGTCTATAATTTTAATGGTAGGTTTATGTGAACAGTGAGAGACAGAATAACAACAAAACCCAGAAAAACGCATGTCAAAAATGTTATAAATTGATTTGCATTTTAATGAGGGAAATAAGTATTTGACCCCTCTGCAAAACATGACTTGGTACTTGGTGGCAAAACCCTTGTTGGCAATCACAGAGGTCAGACGTTTCTTGTAGTTGGCCACCAGGTTTGCAAACATCTCAGGAGGGATTTTGTCCCACTCCTCTTTGCAGATCTTCTCCAAGTCATTAAGGTTTCAAGGCTGACGTTTGGCAACTCGAACCTTCAGCTCCCTCCACAGATTTTCTATGGGATTAAGGTCTGGAGATTGGCTAGGCCACTCCAGGACCTTAATGTGCTTCTTCATGACCCATTTCCAATGCCCTGGCTGAGGGAAGGAGGTTCTCACCCAAGATTTGACGGTACATGGCCCCGTCCATCGTCCCTTTGATGCGGTGAAGTTGTCCTGTTCCTGAGCAGAAAAACACCCCCAAAGCATAATGTTTCCACCTCCATGTTTGACAGTGGGGATGGTGTTCTTGGGGTCATAGGCAGCATTCCTCTTCCTCCAAACATGGCGAGTTGAGTTGATGCCAAAGAGCTCCATTTTGGTCTCATCTGACCACAACACTTTCACCAAGTTGTCCTCTGAATCATTCAGATGTTCATTGGCAAACTTCAGACGGGCATGTATATGTGCTTTCTTGAGCAGAGGGACCTTGCGGGCGCTGCAGGATTTCAGTCCTTCACGACGTAGTGTGTTACCAATTGTTTTCTTGGTGACTATGGTCCCAGCTGCCTTGAGACCATTGACAAGATCCTCCCGTGTAGTTTTGGGCTGATTTCTCACAGTTCTCATGATCATTGCAATTCCACGAGGTGAGCTCTTGCATGGAGCCCCAGGCCGAGGGAGATTGACAGTTCTTTTGTGTTTCTTCCATTTGCGAATAATCGCACCAACTGTTGTCACCTTCTCACCAAGCTGCTTGGCAATGGTCTTGTAGCCCATTTCAGCCTTGTGTAGGCCTACAATCTTGTCCCTGACATCCTTGGAGAGCTCTTTGGTCTTGGCCATGGTGGAGAGTTTGGAATCTGATTGATTGATTGCTTCTGTGGACAGGTGTCTTTTATAGAGGTAACAAGCTGAGATTAGGAGCACTCCCTTTAAGAGTGTGCTCCTAATCTCAGCTCGTTACCTGTATAAAAGACACCTGGGAGCCAGAAATCTTTCTGATTGAGAGGGGGTCAAATACTTATTTCCCTCATTAAAATGCAAATCAATTTATAACATTTTTGACATGCGTTTTTCTGGATTTTCCTGTTGTTGTTATTCTGTCTCTCACTGTTCAAATAAACCTACCATTAAAATTTATAGACTGATCATTTCTTTGTCAGTGGGCAAACGTACAAAATCAGCAGGGGATCAAATACTTTTTTCCCTCACTGTATAGGCGCTGCACGTAAAAAGCAAACGCGCGCACGTTTTTCCGCAGCACGTACACCAATGTCACACGTGCGTGCGTGTAACGGCGGTGGCGGCGACGATGGTGAACAGGTTCCCCCCTACCCACCCCCTTAATCCACGACCCCCGAAATCGCCGCGAGAGACAAGGCGCGGAAGGCCTTCATCCGGCGGTGAACCGATCGCGGCCAACGTTGACGACGAACGCCGGAGACCCACGGCGGGACGGGCCACTCGTGGGCCCGGCCGCCTGCCGACGTTCCCAGCGAGCGGG